TTTTTTTCTTGGTCTTTCTCATTTAGTCCTATCTTGTCTTACGGCATTTCCTAGTAAACTTTTACCTGCCTCCAGAGAGTATTGACTTTGACTTTATGGCACACAATTGGAGTAAGGGCAGATCACCTTCATCTAGTTTGGGACTAAGCTGGTTCAAGGTTTTAGTTTTTGTGATGGGTGGTCTATTTTGTATTCACTTGGACTCCTAGGGGTGGCCCTTCCAGGGTCCCATCTCCTTAGTGGGACCCAAATTCTCATTAGGTCATTTCAGCCTGTGAGAGTGCCAAACATTCAGCTAGGCTTTCCAGCCTGTTAACTACAACTTCATACTCACTTTCTTAGCCTCTTAGTCCTCTACTGTTTACCAATCACCAAATGTGGGAAAAGCACTACAGACTCAGGGTCACCTCCTAGGACTGGTCACACAAGTCCTGGCTGAGGTCTCCAATTACCTTCAAACAATTGTTTTTGCTGGGGCACATTTTTGTCCAGTTTTTCTAACTGCTCTTGTGGGGAGGCTAATCTGTAAAAAGCTACTCTGCCTTTAGTGGAAGTTGAAAACCTTCATCTGTTTTTTTTTTTTTTTTTTTTTGATGGATTCTCGCTCTGTCACCCAGGCTGTAGTGCAGTGGCATGATCTCTGCTCACTGAAACCTCCGCCTCCTAGGTTCAAGCAGTTCTCCTGCCTCAGCCTCCTGAGTAGCTGGGATTACAGGCGTGTGCCACCATGCCTGGCTAATTTTTATATTTTTAATAGAGACAGGATTTCACCATGCTTTCCAGGCTGGTCTCGAGCTCCTGACTCAAGTGATCTGTCTGCCTCAGTCTCCCAAAGTGCTGGGATTACAGGCGTGAACCACTGCATCTGGCCCATCTGTCTTTTAAAACATGTTTTTAATTTGAGGCATAATTTATATTCAGTGAAATGCACAGATCTGGTTTACATTTTGATCAGTTTTAACAAATGCATTACCCATGTAACCCACCTCCTTTGAAGATACAGAACATTTCTATCATCCAGAAAGTTCTGTGCTTTAATCCTATCTGGCACTCCCCCAGCAGCTGATGAACGTGCTGAGGACATTGGTACAGGATTCTGGCCTCCCCAAAACAGCTGCTTTGACAAGCCTGCTTGCTTTCCCCAGCGCTAAATCCCTGCCTGCTCTCTCAAAATTTCCATTTTTAAACTGGTTGTACCTACAACCCTCCCTCATCAAGTCAATAGATAAATAAACCCTGAAAAATAAACACCCTTTCCTGGCCCAGCAGCCCACAGCCTAATATTTACTGTATACCCACGCTTTCAGAAATGGAACTCGCCTGCTTGTTCACCCTCACTAGGGTGGCAACTGCACAGGAGCAGCCGGGCTCACCCATTCAGCAAGAAGCCAACAGCTGGACAGTGACACTCAGACCCCAGCCTGGGTGAGCCTGGCTGAAAGCCCCCTTCTTTCCGGTCCGACTGGAGAGAGGGGGCGGAGCACACACAGCTCTACTGCCTTCCACATCCTTCAGCTGTGCTTCCTCCTGGGAGACGGAGCTGTTCATTAATTTGGCCAAAGCCTTCTCGGGGTCTGTAGGTTTGACAGGCTGGGTGTGTGCGGGCCACCATGCTAGAGAGAGAGGCTGGTGTGTCAGAAGGCAGCCACCTGGCCAGAGGAGGGTCAGCCCCCTTGGTGACCTCCTTCCCCCTGCAGGACACAAGCACCCGGCACTCTTCACTTGTGACTGCTCCTCTCAGAGCTGCCTCCAGGGGGGGATTCTAACCCTGTGGGTGGGGACATTGTGTTAGTTTACAGTGGGCCAGGGCTCCCTCTGTCAGCTCCAACTCAGAGGCAGTAGAGAGAAGATGACAAATTCCCTGCACCGCCTTCCTCCTCAGCACCCCCACCTCTGCACACGTCCACACATGGAGACCCTGACAATGGTCCCTGGGAGAGCCGCCATCTGCGCCTCCTTTCCATATCTGCGCCTCCTTTCCATATCTGCGCCTCCTTTCCATGCCTGCAGCAGCCATGCCCACTCTCCACACCCTTACCCACCTGCTCGGTAGGTGCTGCACTGCCTGTGGTCCCGCCACTACACCTGGGCCTCTGTACCCGTCAGTTCCCCAAGTGTGGTTTTGTATTTCCCCCAATAAGTAGGGAGCCTGTAAGGCCACCTGCTGAGCAAGCTGGGGGAGAGAGTAGGGCGGGGCTGGGAGGATGAGGAGGAGGAGCTTATGGTTGTGCTGGAGACTCAGCGGAGCAGAGTTTATGCAGGCCCATTGGTTGCCTAGCCAGTGGTGATCCCGCTCCCACCCTCATTTCTTTCTTGTTGACAAAACCATGACCTCATTAAATATTGGACACCTATAAACCTCATGGACTCTCCTCCGGCCTCCCCGCCCTGTATTGATGAGTCTAAGTCAACTCTAGTCATTTCATTCCTCTGGATATTGATTGCTTGGGGCTTGGGCATGAGTTGCCTCTTCACCTGAGCCTGAGCCACAGGTTCCCTCTGCACCTACCATGCTGCTGCACTGGGCCAGGGAGAGCTCCGTCTCGATGGAGGTGAGCTGTGAGGAGCTGGTGGCTGGGCGGATCAGGTAGTTGTAACGGGTCTTGTTCAGAAGGTCGTCCATCAGCTTCTGCTCGGCATGGGCCATGCAGCAGTCCCCTGGGTAAACACACAGACATGCTGGGCCCTTGTGCAACTGTCCCCCACTGCAGCTGACAGCTACGAAGCGGGAGCCGAGAGGGCCAGGGAGCACAGCCACCCTGAGGGCCGGCTGAAGCAGCGAAGGCGCTGGCGGGTCTGGCTCTCTGTGGGAACTTCAAATGAC